GTCTGTGTTGATTGCTGAGAACTCTTTGAAATAGATAAAATAACAACTGACATATCACAGAATTATTTTATAAAAAATTTTTTTAAATTCTTTTTTTTTATTAATTTTGTTATGTTACAAAATTGTTTTTTATGTATTAGGGATTCGAGATTAATAAAATAAAATTATTAAGTTGCTCAAAACTATTCGATCTCGAATTTTGATTTAAAAAGTTAGCACAAGAGATGAATAATTCGGATCGATCTTTTGAAAAAAGTTTATAAAATATGCGTATATATAAAAAAGTTTATAAAAAAATTATATATTTTTTATAAACTTATAGCGAATTCGATTGGACGCATTCAATGCGCACTGGTGCATATTAAAGTCATCGTACACAAATTAACATAAAGATATGTTTATAAATAAACATAAAAATGGGATAAATCGTGAAATACTCAATACACTTTATTATGTTGTAAGGTAAAATATGTATTTTATAATTCAAAATATTTGCATTTCACTTTTACATTTAAATTGAATCAATGTACGATTTTATATGTTTAATATGCACTAGTACACATTAGTGCTTCCAATCGAATTTGCTATTAACTCTAAAGACTTAAAGAGTTTGTTTTGCTTTATACAAATCCTGAATTTCAAGGCAAAAATGGATGTTATGCCAATTGTCCTTTATATGTATATGTGGTTGTACTCTTGTGTGATGTGATAGCAACGTTGGGTTTTGTTGAGTTAAGGCCCAATTGCTTTGATTCTAAGCGAGATTTAAAACTCTCTATCTTTTCCTCTCTTTCGACTTTAAAGAGAGAAACTGAGAGTTTTAAACCTTGCTTAAAGTACGTTGTTGGTACAATCGGTAAGTAGTAGATTAAAAAATCGATTTTTTAAGAATCGATTTTTGACCGTTCGATTTTTGAATCGATCTACATGATTACGATTTAAAAAGATCGATTTAAAAATCGATCTTTTGAGTAAAATTATCTATTTCTAGTTAGCACCCCATTTTTTAAAAATTATTAAAAAATTGTTATTAAGCGAAACTCTCGATATAAACTGCAGAGAATTGTTCGTCTCGTTAAAAGGAAGTGGGAACTCCTCTCTAATCAGAATTGTATCTAAAAATTAATTTTTCAAAAATTTTTTATTCTTTTTTCGAAATTTTTTTTATCAGGAACTCTAGATATTCACAAAATAAAATTATTAAGCCGCTCAGAACCATTCGAACTCGAATTTCGATAAGAAGTTAACATCCCCAGTTTTAAAAATTATTTAATAATGATTATTAAGCGGAACTCTTGTTATAAATTATAAACAACTCTTCGTCTCGTCAAAAGGAAACGGGATCTCTAATCAAAATTATGGAATTTAAATGTTGGGGTGCTATTTTCACAGACACGTTAAAATGCTTTATGCTAATCAAGTCGACTCGACCACAAATAGCTAATCATTTTTTATTGCGTTATTAAATTCAGATATTTGCTTAGTAACTTTTGATATTTTTTTTCGAATAAAACATAATTATATCTAATATATCTAATATATAATAATCTGATATAATATTATAAATGCAATTATGTTTAATATTATGAATATGATTATATTCGATATTACAAATATAACATGAAAGGAAAAGAATATGTACAGAATATGTATACTTACAAATAAACGTTATTTTATTTCAATTATGTACAAAGAATAAACGCATAAAACATATACAAATTCGGTTTTGTTAAAATTTATAAATCTAGCTGTAAATGCAATATTGTGATTATGGAATTGTCTCTTAATTTGTTTTACAGACATACACACACATACACACGTCGAAAAATTATATAATTATTATGTATAACATTTAAATTGTTTGTTCCTATTTTTATGTAATATAATAAAAGCGTGAATATAAAATTTATCTTTACTTTTTCCTTAGTTTTTTTTCTGTTGTGAAATATCATCTCATATAAAGAAACCTTTTATATCCTTTCATATTAGGAACCTTTTTTTTGAATGAGCAAAATTGGTACTTCTGATAAAAAAATTTCAAAGTACAGCTATTATCGATTGCTAACTTTTGACGCTAAAACTTAAATATATTTCCCATAAATTTGATGTGAAAGTAATAATTAAGACTACAAATTAAATAAATTACAGGTATCTCATAATAGGCAACTTTATCCTTATTAAGGTAATCGCGCGTAATACGCTAGTTGGGGAAATATGCCACTCGTATTTAACAATGATACCGATTAGCAGCGCCTTGTGTCAGTGCCACAAAATTATTTACAATTGTGTGTTTAACGTGTTGCATAAGTATCAAAAATTTCTTGGTATCAATAACCTTTTTATGAGGTAAAGATAGTTTCGTGGTATACAATAACATGCTTCTTATAACTTTTATAGTGTTTTACGTAAGTTATTAAACATTACACAATATTTAGCTTGAGCTTGTTAATCTATTAATACAGGTTAAAAATGAAAAGATTTAGTATCATTGTTGATTCATTTTCGTAACAACCGTATTATACAGACTCATCATAAATAAAAGAAGATAAGATAAAATATCATCTTAGGGTAATATTAATATCCCACTAATTTTGTTAGGGTGTTAAAATGTTAGTAGTTGTTATTTCTAATATATAGTTTAGGGCGTTATAAATAAACATTTTGCCGCATAATTCTGTTGTGGCAGGATATCCATATCGACATTATTGACAAATAATTAAATAAACTTAAATGTTTATTTATTTGCTTATTATTGTATTACATTAATTTACTGCTCAATTCAAAATTCTAAATAGAGAATACAGTTTTTCCATCCATTTTTAAGAAATTTTCTTGATGGGAACTTAAACTATTTGTAACACTATATAAATATATATAAAAAAAAATAAAACAAATATTTATTTATACATACTTACACATTATACTTTTACTTCTAAAATGGTCCAAAATGTAATTGGATAATACAATATTTAATTGTTGCAGATGTTGTAGATGAATTCACGAGGACTGTTCATCGAAAGATACATTTATGCTATTAAAAATGTGTCTCAAAGTTTATTTTATATTTTATATGTTGTATAACTTTATCGAAGTTATTACTTATATTCTTATATTGTTCATATTACTTATATTATGTTATAAATGTTTATTTTCAACATAAGAATCATTAATATTTAAAAAAAAATTAATAAATTTTTTATTGCAAATTCTTGCAATAAAAAGAAAATAAATATTACAATTAGCATTTTTTTTGTATGTTGCATATTACTCGCATAATGGCATATTACCCATTTTTCAGCACTTTCTCGTATTTTTTTATTTTTAATAATAAAAAATAAAAATATTCGATTCCAATTATATACAAATAATAGATAAAAGATGGAAGAAAAAAAAGATCAGTAAAATTACTTTAAAAATTGAACCAATAAATTCAGAAATCTAAAGTGTCTTTTTCTTAAGTGTGGCATATTCTCCCCATTTATTTTAAATATGTTTATACATAGAAAAGTTGGTTAAAATCTTGTTTTGCTGTGATTATCTATTTTGATTGTTCATTAAAATTTTCGAAATTTTAAATAAGAAACCTTAAAGAAAGAAAAAAAAATTGATTCACATTTTGTCGTTACCGCGAACTACGTGTTTGAAAGTTTTCTTATTAATATCGCAAAGATAAGTAGCGATAAATAGTTAGTATATAGGAAAGTAATAACAGGAATCATGATTGGAGTTTGTAAATATATAGTTAAAAAAATATGATGAATGATGTGGATATTTGAATCCCTTCATTTACGGTGGTTTTGGTTTAGGATTAATAAAAAATATAAGAATAAAAGAATATTTATAGATAACAACAGATAAAAGAAATAATTATTTTAAGAAATAACTATTTTAAGGACTCCTTTAATTTATATAATAAAAATAAATATAGAATCACGAGGCATTAGGAGTCAGCGTTAGTACTGATTTGCACAAAAATATAATAATGATAAAGATATTATAATTTTTCTTCAAGGATATTCTTATTGAAGATCTGATTTCAATCCAAATAATTGCAACTTCAATTCTCTGTCAAAAATTATTACTTCTTCGAAGTAAATCAAATGAAAAAAATTAAAACCCAGATACTATAATCTTAAGTAATCAAATTCAATTGTATTAAATTAAAAAGTAAAACAGAAATGGTACTGTCTCTCTCTCTCTCTCTCTCTCTCTCTCTCTCTCTCTCTCTCTCTCTATCTATCTATCTCTCTCTTGTTATTTATGCAAATTTATCTTTTTAAAAAAAAGTAAAAAAAGCGCTAAAAGTGCGTGCTTTTCGTAAATCATTTGGGCCGGTTTCACCAACGTCAATTGTTTGATTGGAACTGACTAATCGTGTTTGCTGTTTAATAGAATCAGTACACAATTACTTTTTTAAAAAAGGTGAAAAAAGGCGCTAAGAAAAATGTGCTTCTCGAATAAAATCTAAGTATCTAATCCAATTAATAGTAGTTTTAATTTTTCTTCAAAGATATTCTTATTAAAGATTTTTTAAATTTTTATTCCAACCCAAGTAATAGCAACTTTAATTTTTTGTCAAAAATTACTCCTATCAAATGAAAAATTAAAACTCAGATGCTGACTCAGATAACAATCTTAACTAATCATTCATTGTTATATTTTTGCGCAAATCAGTACTAGCGCTGACTCCTAATACCTCGTGATTCTATAATTATTTTTATTCTATAAATATCTATAGAGTTGAATAAAAGAATAAATAATGAAATTAAAAACGATTAAATAATAAACATATGATTATTAAAATGGAAAATGGCGAAAGAAATAAGAAATATAAATTTTAAAATATAAATTGAAAATATACATTCTTATTTATATACATGATACTTACGTACAAAGATTATATATATTTGCAGATTTTTTTTATTTACATTGTGTACATTTGAAATTATATTTACAAACTTTTTTATTTTGTTTTATTTTGTTTTATTATTTAGATACTCTGTAATTGCTACACACTTTATTGATATTATATGCATTAATGCTGATACTATGTTGTATCATACATAAATATAACATAAAAGCAACATTACGTGATTATAAAAAGTCTTTTAAGAAACCAAGATCCCTCAAATGTAACAACATATCAGCTAAGATCTTAGATATTTCATCTCCGCCTTTGTGCTTTAATCTCCTACAATATTTTATGATACCTATTTCTAGTATTTGTTCATTTACATCGGCGTATCCCATTGATATTGGTAAAAAAAAAGATGCAATAATGAAACCGAAGAGACTACCTCTCTTGTAATCGTCAAGGAAAACATCGTACGAGTACTTATCGACATTCCAAACGCCAGCCTCTAACAGATAATCTTTCAAGGCGTCATGATAAACACGCATTATATCGAAAAACTTATCTTTCATCATTTCATTCCTGTAGCACAAACTAATATACGTAGAGAGATCAACGACGGGAGTCGAATAGCTACATATCGCAAAGTCAATCAGCATCGCACGTTGTTGTCCATCATCGTCTCTCTTGAAGAGCATGTTACTCAATGTAAAATCGCCGTGACACATTGTGGCCAAAGGTTCTACTGGTTTAAGAATCTTGTTTATCACTTCGTTGAATGCATTCGAGAGTAAAGCTTCCATTTTGTCACAGAAAGCTGCGTTATGGTTGTGGCTGCGAAGATAGTCCACTGCTCGCGTTGCCTGAGAATTGATAATAAACTTAACCTCTAAGTTATCGTACTTAGTTCCTTGGAACTGTCTCACAATATCGAAGAACTTTTCTTTCTGTAATTCCTTCATGACATATCCTTTGCCATGGAAGCGTCCTATCTCGCGCATCGCCGCTAATGTGTATTCCAATGGAGCGTTATATTTGTATGTACAAGGACAGTATCCACGTTTACTGATGTTCTCCAAAGCAATTACTGAGTCGATAGGTGGCTTCTCGTCGGCATAGAAACATCTCGGAAAATTCTCATCCGATCCAACATATATCCGGTAAAACAATATTTCGTTGCGAAATTGCTGGTCACTTCCTATCATCTGTGTCCACATTTCTAATTGTCTAGGTCTTTTTAATATTATGGAATGTTCTTCATTCTGATTCGTCAGTCTATTTTTAAACTTCACACACACATAATGTATAGTGGACATGAAAATATCGATAGACTCGGTTATCTCGTACCGAGCTTCATCGATGTTTGGACCAAAACTTTCAATGATTTTTGACATTATGTTTTTGATCCATTTTTGGAAATCTTCGTCGTAAGACATTTTTATCTGTGTGATATAAAATTTGTTAAGCAGCTGTACGTCTTGATTACGTCTGTTCAGCGCGAGTAACGTTTACTGAGTCACGATTTATCGTAGTTCGATTATATAAAAGCCTTTATATAATATAGCTAACATATGATTACATATTGACATCAACTTCGCACACATTCGCTAAATATTGAATCTACATTCAATATAGATAATTATATATGTCATGCATGCATGATATTTACTCATGTGATATATGTTGACTATATCATTTGAAAGTCTTAATACTGACTACAGTGCAGATACAATGCATTATATGTATATAAATAATCATACAAATGAAAGGAGCTAATCTGTTTTATGATATGTAAAAAATCGTAAATAATATTTTTTAAATATTGATGAAAGAAAATTTATTTACCGTGTGTCCATTGACTGTTTCAAATTAGAAATGTGCAAACAAAAATTTTGGATATGTAAAAAGATTATCTTTTTTTAATGTTGATTCTGTTTTTAATGGATTAAAATATTTCAAAATTATCTTCACTCTATCTGTGTGTAAACATAACAGATATATTTTTGAATTTTTTATCATACGACAAGTATAAAAAGAAGAGCATAAGGAAGCACAAGTTATAGTTTGTGATATTTAATTATTATTACATCAATTAAAACATTAAACGTTTCGGCCATCTGGCCATCTTCAGTAAATTAATAATATTCTTAAGACGTAAAGTCAGTTGGCATAAAATTCAACCGTCGTGTGTTATAATTATATAAACGTGTTCATTTCTATGAGAAGCTGCTTCGTATAACTAATGTTAGAACGTCCAAAGTCATATCACGAAAAGTGTAGAACGAGAATTTTCAGATTCTAATTTAAAATAAATTTGTATATCATTAATATCTTCTAATCGGAATATAAAAGAATAGAATCGTTATCTGTTTTACAGTAAAAATATAACGATGAATCTCAAGTACATCCATTGCACAGATTTGTCGTGACATTGTGTGTTATTATTAGTCATATCGTATATTTACATATATGAGTCAACAGTTTGGAAAGTTCTAGAATTATTTATTAAGTGCGAGAGAGATCTTTCTTTACAAGAGGAAGATAAACATAGAGGAAGATAAAATTAGGCCTTCCGTGTCACTTTGCTTATTGATACCACTTATTTGGCCTTTTATATGTATCATTTCTGAAATTCTTCTTTTCATTAATGATAGTTCTGTATTTAAAATTCTTATGTTATCTCAATCCAATTCATGCATCTCATTCAACCGGTGACGTAAAACCATTGATATCTCGGAAGTAGGTTTTCTTACATATATCAGCCTTATGTTCCTTACGAGTTTTTAATTTCCTCTTAGTTTGGCCAACGATAAGATGATTCGCAGTTTAAACAATTAATTTTGTAAACAACTCCACAATGGTCATCCTTAAGCAAGGGATCCTTTCCTGTCTTTATAAATGTATTTAATTTATTCATAGGTTTATAAGCTATATTAAAACCATGAATATATGAAAGTTTTTTGAATTTTTCCGAAACCTTGCTTAAGTATGGTATCGTGAAAAATTTTTTCTTTGAATTCGCATTAGAATTCATTATTATTTTCTTCGCGATTTTGATCTAGATTAGTTCTATTTTCCAATGTTTTTATTCTATTATTAATTGTTGAAAATATGAATTTGAGAGGATAACCATTACTTAAAAGAGTGTGAATTAAGTCAGAAATGTTTTTTTCATGAAATTTAGGATGGGATAAAAGCAAAATTCTATTAAATTCTCCAATAATTACTCCCCTTTTATGTACGGATGATTCGAAAAATAATTTAAATATCTCCTAGAATTGATAAGTTTTTTATACATATCAAAGATAATACTTCCTTCTTGTATCATTAATTTAACGTCTAGAAAATTAATGCTGTTTTCATCGTCAAAGTCAACCGTAAATCTAAGTCTCTATCATGATATGAGTTAAATAATTCCAGAACTCCTTCAACCTTTTCTTTGTGTACAGCTAACACAATGTCATCCTCATAACGAAAATAAAAAGGCGAAATAATATTATTCGCAGTAATAATTTCTTGTTCTAGGTCTTGTAGAACTATGTTCGCTAATATAGGAGATAAAGGAGAACCCATTGGCATGCCAAAAATCTGTTTAAATATTTTTTTATCAAATTTAAAAAAGAGTTTATTTAAATTTAAAAGAGTTTCAATTTAATGTAGAGTTAATTATAATCATAACTGCCTTAATAAACTCATGTAAAGGAATCGAAGTCTTATTTTCAATCAAGTTCCATCTACGTTCAATGCTTTTTAATACTAAATCTGTCGGAATGTTCGTGTACATGGAGACCACGTCAAATGATATATTAGGTGTTGGAATTAATTCGTAGCGTTTTACAAGTGATGGGAAGTACTTTCATTAATGTATTTTTTAATGCTCATGTGAAATAAATAACATTCTTTCATTAAAAAACGCTACGAATTAATTCCAACACCTAATAATACTAAAATTTTTATCGATTACCTTTCCATTAAGTTTATTTACTAACTCAAAACTATTTTTTACGTAATTGAAATTATTTTTATTACAATTGTCTATAATTTCTGTTAAGAAGGTCGCTAGTGGATAAAAAGCGCTGTTAATGCAGCTATCTATCAATCTTAGTGGATGATCTTCCTTGTGAATTTTTGCAGTCCAAGAACTCGGAAGTTCGTCATCAGATACATATAATTTTTTGTATACGTTTAGGTCAATGTACCCCTTGTTTTTCCAATTTTTTAGTTACTAATTTCCAAAGTTATTTTATTAGTAGGTATTTTATCATACGATACTTAATATCAGAGTAATTGAAGTATCTCGAATGAGGAATTATGTAACGACTATTTATATAAAGTCTGTTTGCCTTGAACAATGTTGTAACTTATACGGACATACCTATAAAGACATGTTTGTGCGTATAACATAATTATGTAATTTACATATTACGTACGTGGATAATTAATAATGTAAATTCTTATTTTATATTTTATATTTTTAAAACATAAGTATACATCTCGATAAATATTATCATACATAAATTTCATAGTTAATTATAAATATGATAAATGTATCCGCATGCTAAAATTTTTATAAAATTATTTTAGAACAGAGAAATAAGATATTAGACAGATTGTATGTAATTTCTTAACGATTTATAGAAACTTGTTATATAAATCTGTAGAAAAATAACTCTTTACTCAATGCAACGTGATGTGTTTTAATTGCCATTTGCAAGCGTTTAGATCGTAAATAAAAAAAAACAAAAAAATTTTTGATCACGAACTAACGGAACAAATTGAGTTCTATGCCTGGAGAAGTTGACGTTTTTCTGGTCCGGTAAAGTGCATCCCAAAGGCATTGGATGGTGCTGTCGAATAGACAGAGCATTTGCATTCTCCAGAAGAGATATATTCCGTGCTGTTTCTTTCGAGAGAAAAATTTAAGAAGTAATCGCGGTTGACGTTTTCAATTCGAACGGAAGCTACATATCTAAAACTTATCGCTCCATAAACGTCAACTATAATGAGATTAGTGAGAAATTTAAATATATTCAACTGTAATTGATAAGAAAAATAACAGCAAGGAAAGAACAAATAAATTTAGCGGTTAAAACTAAATACTGAATATTTCAAGCAGCAAAAAATGCAGACACAATCATACATCGATGATATAAAAAAACTTTTGAATCTACACGGTAAGACAAATCAAATTTTTCTTTCAATAATGCATTTTCAACTGGGAATTTTATTCATAAAATGAAATACATAAATACAAAATAAAAATACATTAAAGTGCCATATCCCCCCTTTCCCTCCCTCGAAAACGTTTGTGTCTCCGTTTCATGTTGCGAAAGTCTACTCTACGAGGTCTACTCTAAACTATTTCCTCTTTTCGCTCCTTTTCCTCTTTCCAAGATGAGTTAGGCAGGTTTTCGACTAGCGAAAAAACGTCTCTTGCGATTTTCTAGGTAAAGGAATTTTGCATAATTACTGGTGATGTATTTAAGTGGCTTGCTCGATAAACGGCAAAGAGAAGAAACTCAAGCCACGGTGCTATCTGTAGTATATTACACGACAGTTTTAATGAAAATTTCAAGTTAGTGCTAGTGAAAACTTTCGGCGTTATGTGACGTGTTACTAAATTTTAATATCAATACATATTTATTTTTTTCGAGGATTTTGCTCGTACTTTATATAAATATTATAAATATTATAGAATATTATAAATATTATAGAAGATTTTCGAATATTTTATTCTCCCTATATTTCTACTTCCGTTAAAATATTAATATCATTGATAATCAGTTCAAAAAGCTGGGACAAGATTTATAAACTTTTTTATCGATTGTTATAAAAGATTTTTTTCTATTATTTCCTATAGAGCATAATACATTTGAGGCAAGTGTATGTAACTTACAGTTACTTATTAAGTTGTTACATAATATAATAATTGATTTATACTGATTATAAATCAATTATTATCATATCGTTGTATTAATTTTGAATACGAGGTCATTTAATGACCTTCAGTTTATTACATAAATATGAAAAGATTTATATAAATCAAAGATGTTATCTTATTTGAGTACGATATCGGCACGATAATTGTAACATAATAATTTTTTTTATCAATATGAAAGCAATAAAACTGTCATATGCGTTCCTTTTACGTTTACTAAATGATGATTTATTTTACAATATATCTTAGCTACATGATATTCAGAAGAGTCCATCATTTCTCGGCGGAATACATAATTACGGCGAGTTGGTTGAGAAGCGAGGAAGACAGACGCTGCTCGACGCGATATTACTGCGTTCTTTTCCTGGGGCGCACAATTCCCTGTCGAAAATTCCGCAAAACATAACAATGACTGGCGTTAAAGAGAGGACTGTTGGCTACGCGAGACGAATCGAGTCAGATTAAATTTCCATTGCAAATTTCATTCAACGGACTGCTTCATACCTTACTTGCACTCTCTCTCTCTCTCTCTCTCTCTCTCTCTCTCTCTCTCTCTCTCCCCCCCGTCTCCCTCCCCCTCTCACTCCTTTTCTCTCTTTCTTTTTTCAGTGCTCTCTCGCTCTCAACGATGTGACGACGACTTAGCACGACGTCATTCCTCAGTAAGATGAACGAGGCGACTAGTATTTACGCGAGGAACGATGAAGCGTTTGCGAGATAAGCATCGAGTCGTTGGTGTACATCTAAGCGTCGTTATCCAGTTTCTTTGTCGAAGATTATCATCCTGCATGACGGCTGTCGTGATCCATCCTATGAAGTAGATAACTGTCTCGAGGTTGCATTCCGTAATCGACATTAGCAATCATAGAGTTAACTGAGATGTGAGTGCTATTGTAGACACGAGGTTGACAATAAGTACGATTGTATTATAGTTTAGAAGGTAGGTTTTCCAAGGTTCCCTAAGCATTTAATGTTATGGATATCGAACTTCTTGTTGAAACGATTCGTGGTGGCGACGAACGATAATGAAAGCTTTCTTGCATCTAATATGCGACTAAGTGCTCGTTAGACTAATGAGCCCTTAAAAATACACGCTTTCTTGCGTTATCTCGAGGAGTCAAGCTATTATATGAAGACTTAATGACGTGTTCACAGGTGGTCTTTGTTTCATTGGATGCGGTCTGTCGCCAGCATCATCATCGTTTTTTTGGTCTTCGACAACAGTAAAACTTCTTTCCAAAGCCAATTGTACCGTACAGAAGAATTGTTAAGAATTGGATAATGAAATAAATTAAGTAAATAAGAATTCATAAATTTCTTTTCCCAGCTATTGCTCGTTTAACATATGTTCCCTACGGAATGATGGCTATTGTTTCTCATACTGATATTTGTTTCCCAGCCCTATTACATTACTCGTCACGCAAAACTGCTGAGAGATGCTCTTAGCGACAATTCTCAAGACAATGGCGGATCGCGTTACAACATTCGTTACAATTCTTCCACGCCACGGATGTTTTTCATTACGCTCATCGGAAATTCATCCTGTCAACTCGTGCAGAAGGGATACCAAACAGTACCGATGAATTTCGCGCGTTCGTTCTGCTACGTGCGGAACAAATGGCAGCCAATCGGCGCTCGCGTGCGTTTCGAAAGTGAAAATTAATCCGATCGGCCGTGCGGGAAATCAATTCCATAATAAATCTCCCCCGAGCGGATCGTAAATAATATCCGCACCGTGCACCGCGAGATAGCGCGTTGGCGCAACGGCGCGACAAAGAAATATGACACCCCACGGTCAAGCTTATTTATCGGCGAAACCCGTTTCCGAACCGGCTCCAACCGAGAACTCCTGCCTCGGTACCGAGAACTCCAGCTAGGACATTTTACACACCCGCTGCATCCATCGAAAATCCTTGCCCACGATGCATGAGAGTTTGCACTCCGACACGCGAAGCAATCATAAACCTTCCGAGTTGATTCTCTTGCGACATACTTTCAACGATTTTGGCTGTACGTGCTCTATGTATTCCCCATCGATCACGCTATTTTATCTGAAAAAGAGAAAGAATGATGTAATATATGTTTGCAGAAATACTTTTTCATTATTTGCAATATATAATTACTGGGTCTCTATTAAACAGAACATATACTCGAGTTGACGGAAACTTTAGCATCAATAATCGCTATATTTTTAGAAATATTTTGTGAGATAAAGTATTGCTTCCAATATGAAATTAATGTCTGAATAATTACAACGTTATTTTGATGCATTTTCATCAAAATAACAGCGAGAACTTAGTTGCGCACCTAATACAATAAGCTTACATTATTTCACAAGCATATAAACATATTCTTTTACAGCGCGTTAGTTATTTTGATCATAGCAAAATTAATGCAAATTATTAATGTAATTGATTTTAACATAATAAAAGCATAGTCACGGTTACATTTGTATATAATACATGTGCACGAGAGATTGATGCAGTATCACATTATTTATTACATCACTCTGTTTCTCCTCGTAATTGCCGCAACGTTTGGTTTTAAAGCAATGATCATCCTCGGTGACATTTATTTTCCATCAAGATGTATCTTTCCGTAAACAATATAAAATTGTTTGTTATTCATGTGTGTCGACCATAATACATTAGCCATCGATCGAATTGATACATCCCGCTCTATCGCGGCAAATTTTATTCCCCCGACAATTATTTTATTCCTGCAGCGAATTCTTGGCGGAGGCCACCATGCAGTCATTGGAATTGCATCGCGATGAGCACCATTAATGCTGAAACCAATTTATTTGGAGAAAGGAAGAAAATTTATGATAGAAATGTGAACCTTCGTGCAAACTTTCTTGCCATCTCTATACCAGTACTGAGTAAGTTTCTTACTTACAAGCCGCAGGTTTGAAATTATTTTCAGACTTCACTTATTTAGAAATTAACATAACTTGACAATACTACTTGTATGTAGACCAAAGCTTTCGAAGTGAACAATCATTAATTATAAAACTGGCAATATTGCACGATTTATAACAGTAATTTATAATAACAGTAATGATTGAATTCACACACTCGCGAATTTTTGGAATATTTTTGCGCGAGTTTTGCGAGACTGGAGATACACTGTGGTTGAACTAAAAATTGAAAAATGGGAATGTAGTTTTCGGTCTACTAGACGTTTAAGCAAAAGTTGTGAATCTGAATTTTAAAACAGGAGATCAAGAGAGAGAGAGAGAGAGAGAGAGAGAGAGGAGACGACGTCTACTTTGCGATCTGGCCGAACAAGGATAGATTTTGGAGTAGATTGAAAGATAACTGTACGGCTCTCTATTTCTCCTGTTCTTGCCTAGCTTTTACTGGCGCTACATCTCGTCCCTATCCAGCAGGGTTGTGTCTCCTTATCCTGTCCGACTTTCCATCGCCGCAGATATTTTACGAGGTGGCTTCGACTTCGCGGGCCGTAAAATCTCGAAATTTAGGAGAGGATCTGGCTGCAAGGACGCGACCCACTACACCAGATCAGGCCTCGCGGGTCTACATATGTCCTTCGCGGAACATCGCAAAAGGCAAAAGCTATTCCCGCGCCTCTTGATTCGAGGTGGAACATTACGAAGGAGCGCGAATCGCCCTGGTAGCGTCGAATCAAAACGAAGCGCGTCTCGACCTCGATTCCAGCGTGTAATTCGAAATGCACCAGGGAATCGCTGATGCGCGCATTCCGCGGCTCGTCAGCCATAACTCGATATTATCCAGAGCCATGGGATTTAATGGACCATCGAGTGAGATAAACGCGCTACAAGTATCGCGATTAAACCTGCTGTTGCTATATCTGCCGGAACGCGTTACCGCGTTCGTTGAGCGCAAAGAGGAAACACGCGGATTTACACCCGTTCTCTCACGAGTCGACGATAAATTCTCATTTTTGTCGGCGACACGGTACAGATGGAAACCGTAGACTAGAAACAAAGGCAAGAAACAAGACGGAACGATAGCGCGATTCGAAATATATCCGCCTCGGATCATTATACTTTCTTACTTTTGTAATTCTTTCTCCTTTCCTTGTAACTCTTTTTCATTACTTGATTCATCTATTTTGTATTTATTATCCTCCTTAATTTCAAAATGATTAATTTTCGCAGATGAAAATGCGTTTAGTCATTCAATTCGGTTGCAATTGTGGAAATGCGTTTGAAATTATATAAGAAAATTAGGTGATACCCTTATTAAATGATAGGGTATATCACATCTTTTTAAATTGAGTTTGCATCTTTTCTAAATTAAGTTAAAAGCAAAATGTTGGTCACGGCCGTATGAACGGAAGGAAAGGAAATTGAGGAAATGGAGCAGATTGCGAGGTGGAAAGGTGGTCAATGGCGTTGATTCATAATTAAATTAGCTTGAGACCATTGTACAAGCATGGCTGGCTCTTGTAACCCGTTCGTTCGAAACTTGGCCAATTCTAGCGGCCTTTCGTGAGAGCTCGAATTTCTTGTCGCCAAATAAAACAGACCCGTTGAAATTGCTCGCAGCCTTTCGCTAAATTTAATAAAGAAACTTGTCGCGACTCACTTGCGAGCAAAGTTTTGTTACATACGCCGCAATCACGATACAGCGTATCTCTTTCATAATATACGTGTGTATATATATATATATAAAAGATAATATTATTCATAATATCGCGTATATAATAGCGCAATAAAATAGAAAATTTATTATATTATCGCAATTTTTAAATCGACACAGAAGTAGATTAGAAACCACGTTCGGTATTAACCGTGTAGTATTAAAATTAACACATGACTTCTCCAAGTGGTAAAATTTTATTGGTAATTAAAAATGATATCTTGTTATTCGGAGAGATATAACGTGAAATTTTGAAAGTTCGTTTTATCATTATTATGACAGTTTCGACTGAATATACTAGTAAAGAAAACATTACGTTTAAACTCCCTCCGAAGTACTTTTCGCTCGTACTTGATATTTCTGCTGTTAACCAGCTATGTATAATTGATTATTGCTTCTGGAAAGTTTTGTTCCCTATAATTCATTTTGCGTCTTCATTCAATGCTACGTTCAGAGCGACGTTTCTCGCGTGAATATTATCTAACGGGCTGATTACGCGGAGAAACGCAAAGGGATCGGGAACTGGAGGAGAAACGGATTAACGTCGAGTAACACCGTGGAGAATTCGCGATACGAAAGTCGCGGATAAAGTTCTCCAGCCACTCGAGGGGATAACTGGCGACGTTTGGAAGCGCCTAAAGTGTCGCTGGTAAGAGAAAACGGGACGGATTATGCGGGTCGGCTGCCGCGCCGAGATTCAATATTTGCCGCATCAGCCGCGAGCGCGTCTCCTCGTGTAATCACGGCCTAATCAAGAGCGACGAAATTCGATTATATACTCACCGAGTTTCTGGCAATAGAGCGTAACTAGCGTATGATAGCTGGTTATATAGAGGCGAGGCCTGACGCCGCGCCGCGCCGCGCCGCGCCGGCGGAAACGAGCGGTCGACGTGACTGCAGCAGTTGGCCTTTCGGGATCGTAACAGCGACAGCCAATTATATCCGTGCTCTCGATCACCTCAGCTGAGATGAATAAACTGCGCCCGCACAAAAGCGTGATAATTCGCGGCGCTAGTTACTTTTCGAACGCCTCGGTTCGTTTAAAGCCCGTTTGAACGAGTTTGACAAATTTGGGACGGCGCGGCGATGGGAAACGACCAGGTTCATCCTGCGTACGCATGGCTGAGCAAGGTAATTGCAAATTACGTTTTTAATTCCGACAAATTCTACCTTGTCTATCTCACGTGCATGGGATATTCACGTTGCGCAAATTATCGTGATTAATTTGTTTCTACATGGACATTCGTGAACGTGACGTGGTTGAAACGAGCGAGTTCTTAAACTTGCGAAAATTAGATGATATCGTCTTGAGAAAATTATTTCCTTGTCGTCGATTCAACGCGAAAGTTGCTGAACCGATAAACAATTCTCGTAACTCTCAGGGGTGTCCGCGACGATGATACTTTGCTTCAAGAAGTTTATTGCCAGCTTACTCACAGTTCAAAACACTTAACTCGGTTTATCCAAGATAAGTATAAATATTTGCGCCATTAATCGATCGATTTAATTCTCTTTCTGCACTCTCTTTATCTTTATTTATTTCGAATTAATACATTTGATAGCACTCGGTTAATGAGTAATACAATAGAATATCAAAGATAAAAGCTTAATATAAACTTCCTAGCTGTTGAACTATTTCACATACATGGCGTAAAATTTTACACATTTTTTTTATTAGTTAAACTGTAATAAAATATTCGTATTTTTCCTAAACTTTACTAATATTTTCCGAAATGAAAAAAAATTACTTTGTGTTGCTGTTCTACTCAACGACTCATTTATTGTCTCAGTGCAATGCTGCGATGCATTCAGCGAAGTTTAATCGAATAAAACGAACCAGCTTTTGGCAGAAGAAATGCATTACGCGATGCACATGCCATTTTCCTTTGTTCATTGCGTGCTATTATCGCGACGTTACAATGAAAACATCTTAGCGGTACAAATGATGACGAAGAGATTTTCTTATTTTCTGTTTCTTAGAGAGAAAGAGGCGCAAAGAAACACAGAAATCATTGATGTGAGAATAGGTTATTTCTGCGATAATAAATGTCAAGTAGTAAGGAGTAACGACATTACATTTTGTTAATTTCGCAACTTTCTTTCCGCAATTTGTTATGTAATTTGCACATCTGAGACTAGATAAATAATTCTTTTTATATCAGTCAAATTTTATGTAATAGCTATGCTCATTTAATTAAAATCTCCCGGCTTTTTTTATTAACTATACTTGCGTATTTGCGCATTCCCTCTTGCTTTTTAATGAGAAACCATTACGCATTGCAAGCCGCTTTCTAATGAGCATAATTAATAGTTTAGCATAATATGGTAACTACTCATGCAAGCAATGATAATATTACTATTATTATTATTATTATTATTATTATTAATATCATAATTACATTTTATGATGTATACAAAATGTTTTTTGTTACATACAAATGAACGTTATACTTACATATTCATTTCCATTGTTGTGTTCGCTATTATTTTATTTTAATTATTTTCTTCTCTAATTATAATTTTTTCACAAAGAATTCGCTTTAAATTTGCTAAGAAAAATTACATTTCGCACTTCAGACAATAAAATACATAACACAAAATCTAATATGCTGTAACAAAAAAATCGACTGTGCCGATTTTTATTCATCACGAAGGTAATTTTTTAAAATTTCCAACTTCCTCTTTACTTTTTAACTTTCTGTCGCATTACATGGCAACGTTGTTTCTTGAATGATAATGCGCGAACAACTACGGTCGATCTTGTACAAGGAAATTCGTTTTTTCGTTCTCTTCTCGATTTTCAGCATGCAAGAACAATCGACACATTGGAAACAAAGAATACGTACAGTGCTTGAAGATACGTCGCCGCGAACGAATGTCTTCTCTCGTTCAGCATTGAAATTGCCACATTTACACAGTTTTTTTTCGATTTCTCGTGTTTCAGAAGTACACTGCCACAACATGCCATACGGCGGCAGCGGCAAGAACAGCGACACATACAACCAGAACGCTTTGGAGGAGGCCACACGATCGGGACCGTATTTCGACAAATCGGCCTCGAAGAACGTGACCGCCCTGCTGGGAAAGACCACGTATCTCAACTGCCGTGTCAAAAATTTGGGGAACAAAACGGTGAGTGAGATAAACGCATATTTCCCAAAAAAAGAATCCGTATCATTCGCTGGTATCTCTTTTACTTGTATCCAAAAATAATTTATGATACAATTTCCTTAGATTGTTTATAAATTAATGCGATAATAATGTCGTATTATAATAGCACGATATTATATTCATAAAATATTAACTCGTTGAGAGAAAAGTGTTGGGGAACGTTATGAAATAGGATCAAAAAAGCAATCTTATTATGTAAAACTTTTTAATATTTTATAATTTAAAAATCGCAACGTCATTGCGCTCTAACTATCTTCTTTTTCAAGAAAAAAAAAAGTTGAAATTGTTTTACTGGAAAAAAAGTAGTTGGGAAATCCGAAAGGATAACAAAAACATTAATATTAAGTAGTTACGGAGACGAATCCAGCTCGCTTATGTCACCTAAGTCAAAAGTGAATGAATCCAGTCAATTTGAACATTACGAATCGAAAAATTAAATCTGGCACGTTACGGACGTATAGTTAAATTCAGCAATGCGCAAGACATCCCGCATGTCTTCTTTCTTTTTCTTTCGGGATAAAATCTCACTAATGGCAAGATATAATACTAAAAGTAATACGTTCGTGAGAGTAAATTAGAGACGACGGAAAAAAAGTGGACGACACCGATGTAAACACCGATTTCTAACGTTTTCTCTAGCCTAGCCTGTGAGTAAATAAGGCGAAATATCGAGTGTCAATATTTTATCGACACAATGGAGCGTCACCTGTCCCGGGCAAACTGCGGGGATTACCGGAAGTGCACTCATGCACCAGCGCGACACCATGGTCTCTCGACAGTACCATTGAACCAAGTATGCAGGTGCCTTTGCTATATATATATA